GCGGTAGCACCCTCAGGCTCAGCAGCAGCTCCAGCCCCAGCAGCTCCAGCCCCTCCAGGACGAGCACCTCCGGGACCAGCACCACTCCCAGCTCCAGAGACGTCAGCAGAAGTACCTCCAGCGGCAGAGCCCCGAGCTCCAGAAGCGCGACCCTGACGGCGACCGTACCAGTCGTGCAGCTGCTGTGAGGTGAGAGGCACACGCGGACGAAGGCGGCTACCCCAAGGCGACCGCGTAGCAGCAGACTCAGAACCCTCAGGCGTCGCACCCCCAGACTCAGTACCCCCAGGCTCCTCACGCTCAGGCTCAGCGCCCCCAGACTCCGCACCCCCCGGCTCAGTACCTCCTGGGTCCTCACGCGTAGGCTCCGCACCCCCAGGCTCAGCACCCCCAAGCTCCGCACCCCCAGGCTCAGCACCCCCAAAGACAGTACCACCCCCAGCAGGACCTGAGTCACCAGTGACCTCAACAGGCGCAGGCAGGGGAGGGTCTACCTGAGAAACACCTGAAGGAGCAGGACCTGGCGCGGGGAGGGGGTCTACCTGGGGAGCACCTGAGGCGAGAAAGAGCGGCGGTGGGGGGCGAGGGGCAGTGCGGAAGGGAAAGAGACGGTAAAAGGGGACGGACTCGTCAAAGGTGACGTCCTGAGACGGAAAGACACGACGCGAGGCGGGGTCGTAGAGCTGCCAGCCAGGCGCGTCAGGGACAAAGCCAAGGAAGACGCAGGGAATGGCGCGAGCGGAGAGCTTGTCCGCGGTGGTATCGCGGACAAAGGCACGAGCACCCCAGACCCGGAAACGCGACGCATCGCCAACCTTCCCCGTCCACAGCAGAGTGGGCGAGGTCTCCGGCAAGGAGACACGGGGCCAGAGGTTGAGCTGATGCGCGGCGTACCGGACCGCAAACGGCTACAGAAAATGGGGGGCAGCCGCATGGATCATGGAGGTACGAGCGACCTCCATGACTAAGCCAATGCGGCGCTCAGCAACCCCATTCTGCTGCGGAGAGGCCGGAAGCGTGAACGTCTGGCGGATGCCGTGCTCCGCACAGAAGGCTGCCAAGAGGTCTGAGGAGAACTCACCACCTCTGTCAGAGTGCAGACGCAGGACAGGAAAGTCCGACTGGAACCGCTCGCGGAGCTGGAGACGAACAGCGCGGATCCAGGGGATCAAAACATCAGGGACCTCCCCCTTGCTGCGCAAGGGGAAGACCGTGGTGTAACGCGTGTAGTCGTCGACGACCAGCAGGAAGTACCGCTCGTGGCCCTGTCCACGGACGCGGGCTGGGCCCCACACGTCCATGTGGAGAGTCTGCAGGGGAGCCTCTATGGGAGGAAACGAGGAGGAGTGAGGAGCGGCGCGCTGCCGCCCCTCGATGCAAGGAATGCAGGGCGGCGCAGGCGAGGGAGGGAGGGCAGGCAGAGACTCAGGGAGGCCAGAGACCAGGTAGCGAGAGTGCATGCTACGAAGGCGAGGCAGGGAGGGGTGACCAAGGCGGTGGTGCCACAGGAGAGTGTCGTGCGACAGTCGGCGACACTCACACTGGGTAGCTACCTGAGCAGACGCGTACAGCTGGGGAGACAAAGGGGTGTAGCGCGACGCAGTGGTGAGGGTGTACAGACTGGACCCAGGCGCACGTGTGAACGTGGCCAGGTGACGGCCGGTCCGGGAGCACGTGCAGATCGCCACACGCTGTCCTCCAGGAGTAAAGGTGTCAACCCAGTGATCCTGAAGGACGGCGTTGCTCACCAAGTTCGTAGAGAACGAGGGGAGGTGGAGACCAGATAGCTCACCAGACGGGACCGCCGGACACGGAAGCACAGTGGAAGACCGTGCAAGCACTGGGCCCCCAGAGGGGTCAGCCAGTGAGACAGGAACAGGTGCAGGGAGGGGAGTGACTGTGGTACTGTCGCGAAAGAAACAGCGGGAAGCACCAGAGTCAAGTGTAAAGGTGTGCAAGGCCTGTGCAGGCGCAGTACCAAGGGGAGCGGACTCACAAGCACCTAGTGCTGCAGGGGCTATACCAGGGGCTATACCAGGATCCGGCGGCACACACAAGTAGCAGTCACCCTCAGCACTAACAGTCAATGCATACATAGCAGCAAGAATTGCCTCATAGTCAAGATCAAAGATAGGTACATCACGCCTAAGCAAGTCTGCCCAGTTGGGGAACTCAGTAGCATCAGGAAACTTGGCGCGCCAGGCGTCGCTAAGCCGAGCGAAGCAGCGCTGCTCAGTGTGAAACCCTGTGCACTGGCGATTAGCGCGGGGACCTGTGCGAATGATATAGGGGCAGCGACCAGGACCCCCAGAAGCTCCACGCCCGGCATACCAGTCAAGAAGCTGCTGGGAAGTGGGGGTCTGGCGCTGACGCTGCTACTGCTGCTGCTGCTGCTGCTGCTGCTGCTGCTGCTGCTGCTGCTGCTGCTGCTGCTGCTGCTGCTGCTGCTGCTGCTGCTGCTGCTGCTGCTGCTGCTGCGGCTGCTGCTGGCCCTGACCTCCACTGCCACCACCGCTCCCTCCTCCCCCACTGCCGCTGCTGCCACCTCCACCGCTCCCAGTGCCTCCGCTGCCCCCACCACCACCTCCACCACCTCCACCCCCAAGACCGCCTCCACCACCTCCACCTCCCCCGTCGCCACCTCCACCGCCACCCCCACCTCCCCTGCCACCCTTGCCGCCCCTGCCGCTGCGACGCTTCCCACTAGGAGCGGAAGCAGCCCCGACCTCCTCAGCACCAAGGTAGTCGTGAGCAGCAGCTGCGGAGGCGTAGGAGGGGGTGAGAGGGGAGGGGGAGCACCCCTCAAAGAGGGGAGAGCGAGGAGTGCCACGAGCAGCACCTACAGCGAGGATGTTCTTCTCTGCTGCAAGGAGGTGCTTCTCGAAGTCGTCGACAGTGAGAGTGGGGGGGTCTAGCGCTAGGAAGTGGTCCCTGACGGAGCTGAGAGTGTCAGGGAGGCGGGTGACGAGGAAATAGAGAGTGAAGTACATCGGGGGGGGGTTTGCGTCGCAGAACTCGGCGGAAAGTGAGGCACGAAAGCGAGTGTCAGTAGCGCGCAGGTGGGAAATGAGGTCCTCAGCAGTGGTGAACGAGGAAAGGTCGGGGAACAGGTAGGGTAGCATGAGCCGACCTATGGCTGCAGTGGCCGGGGAGGAGTAGCGCGCAACTACAGCGTCGTACAGCGTCTTAGCAGTTTTGTGCTGGCTGAAATGCGCGCGCTCAGTAATCGGCAGATGGTTCCTAATAGCTAGGCGTGCAGCAGCATCGCGAGTCTGCCACTGTGAGCGTTCGAGAGCAGGAGCATCGGCAGCAGGAGCAACGGCAGTGCCAGACACGTAATCGAACAGTGAAACGCCCTCTTTGGCATCGGTCAGAAGGAACAGTTGGAGATCATCTAACCACACAGCGAACTCTATGGGGCGACCGTCAGGCTCGAACGCGAGAACGTTAGGCGTCGTCATAATGGCAGCAGGCAAAGGCAGAAGAAAGCAGGCAGGCAGTAGACAGGAGGCAGTAGGCAGCAGGCAGTACAGGCAACGTGCAGGGCAGTAGCTTGCTGCACTCGAGCTCCTAAGGTGGGGCTCTAGACAGTAGCAGGCCGAGCAGTTCTAAGGCAGTGGGCTCGGCAGCAGTGAGCCTCACAGGCAGGTACACGAGTAGGGTACACGCGGCTGCTGGCTGCGTGCGGCTGAGGGCTGCGCGCGGCTCTCTGCTGTGCGTGGCTACGTGCTGCGCGCGGCTCCTGGCTGCACGTGGCGACGGGCTGCGCGCGGCTCCTAGCTGCGCGTGGCGACGGGCTGCGCGGGCGTGGCCTAAGCAGGTTGCGCGCGGGCGGCGTAAGGGGCGCGCGGGCTCTACGCGAGGCTGCGCGGGCGACGCGGACCGGCGCGCGGCGCTGCAGCAGTGGCGCGCGCTAAAAACAGTGACGCGCGCGCTAGAAACCGAGGCGCGCGCGGAAAAAAGTGACGCGCGCTGCAGCCGAGGCGCGCGCGGGCAGTAGGCAAGGCAGGCAGGTGGTAACACAGTTAGGTGGGCCCGATTCTTAGGTCCTAGAGACCTCCTGCTCTAGATACCATGTTAAAGACTAAGTCAAGGGAATCATGAGATTAGGTCAAGGTTGGGGTACAAGACTAGAGTGTCGAGAGAGTTTCTGTACCCCCTAAGGCTAGCACCAATATAGCCTAGATAATGATATGCATATGTTTTGACAGCGCGGCTGGCAGAAACCGACGCGCGCCCGGGGCGCGCATCGGGCAGGAACCGACGCTCGCCCGGGGCGCGCGACGGGCAGAAACCGCCGCGCGCACGGGGCGCACGACGGGCAGAAACCGCCGTGCGCTCGGGGCGCGCGACGGGCAGAAAACTGACGCGCGCCTTGGGCGCGCGACGGGCAGGAAACCGACGCACGCCCGGGGCGCGCGACGGGCAGCAAAATGGCGCATTAGCGGAAGCTAACGGTGGGCCCAATGAGGGAATCGGTCTAGGAACGACCGGCTCTTAATACCATGTTAGAATGACCTTAGAGCGTGTTCCTACGGCCTCATATCAGGAAACCTCGTATCAATAATGCTGTTTTTGCCTGGTAAAACTAGCGAGAGGTTTGGGGTTTAGGGGAATTTTCAGTGTGAGCCTGATACGAGGTTGAATTGATACGAGGATAGGAACACGCTCTTAGTAGTGCCTAGGGTTTGGATGCTAGGCAACTATCGAGAGTAGAAAGGAAGGGGTTTCACTAAAGGGCCAAAGGCCCAAGTTGTACAAGAGACAAGCAAGGAGGGGGTGCACCACAAGCAGGACAGCTATATAACTACACTAAATATATTCTGACTGTTTTTTCATTCCATACATTTTGCAAGTTATGCGCAATATTCCAGTAGTAGATTGCACCCCCAACTGTATGAAATGTAAGAGAAATTAGCAGTTTTCCCGCACATAGCACCCCCCCCAAGTTTTCAGGTTGAAGACACTTCATATCAGAACAGACCACATTTATGAATGGACTAACAATGCCGTTCGCTGTTTTCTATCCACAGCAATGAAAGACCGGGGAGGGGAGCAGAAGAGTGAAGACGTGGAGAAGAGGGAGGAGGAAGGAAGTGATCAATGTAATGAGAGGACACGGGAGTAAGGAGACAGGGGTGGAGGGAGGGGAAGGAAGGAGGGAAGCATAGAGGCGGGGAAAGAGGAAGGGATCGAGGGTTGGCCAGAGTGAATGTGGGAGGGAGGGAAGGGAGAGAGAAGGGGAAGGAGAGATGGCCTAGGAGGAAGAAAAGGAGGAAGACTGGGAGGGGAGCGGGGGGAAGGAAAGGGAGGGGGAGGGGAGGGAGGGAGGGAGGGAGGGAGGGAGGGAGGGAGGGAGGGAGGGAGGGAGGGAGGGAGGGAGGGAGGGAGGGAGGGAGGGAGGGAGGGAGGGAGGGCGGGGGGGAGGAGGGAGGGAGGGAGGGAGTGGGGGAGGAGGGAGGGAGGGAGGGAGGGAGGGAGGGAGGGAGGGAGGGAGGGAGGGAGGGAGGGAGGGAGGGAGGGAGGGAGGGAGGGAGGGAGGGAGGGAGGGAGGGAGGGAGGGAGGGAGGGAGGGAGGGAGGGAGGGAGGGAGGAGGGAGGGAGGGAGTGGGGGAGGGAGTAAAGAGGGGGGGAGAACGAGTTATCGTGGGAGAGGATGAACGGAGAGAGAAGGGGAAGAAGATGGCATGAATGGGAGATAAGGAGGTAGAACGGGAGCGGAAAGGGGCAAGGGAGTAAGGGTACATTCCACTGTGGACACTGTCCCAATCGATGTGTCCCAATCGAGTGTACCGCTCCGAACCGAACTAAACCAGAGACGCGAAAATTTCGAAACTAGGGTGCAATTTGGTGTAATACGATGCAGTGCGGTAGAAACGATTGAGACACTTTCGATTGGGACATGTCCAGCGCGGAATGTACCCTAAGAAAGGAAAGGAAGGGAGGGAGTGAGGGAGGGAGGGGCAGAGCGAGAGAGGAAACGAGGGATGGATTGGCGGATCGAGAGAGGGAGCGAGGGAGGGATTGGTGGAGGGACGGAGGAGTGCCAAGAGGGGTAGGAGAGAGGGAGGCAGGAAGAGATAGATGGAGAGAGGGAGAGTGGGAGTGTGAGTGAGTGAGAAGACGGGCGAAAGACAGAAGTGGTATTCCACACAATGAGGTGGAGGTGTTCATAAAGTTTTGAATATACAAGAATGAGGATAGCATGTAATCGTGCGCAAGCAACCGATGGGGTGATCAGCAGGTCAGCAGTGGGCGCAGGCAGCCTAGGCTAAGGACAGGGCAAGGCATGGGTGAGGCAGTGGCAGCTGCACGCAGCAGCGGGGGAAGGCGCTATTGCGGGGCGTGCTCGCGGGTGCGGGCAGCATCGGCGAGTTGTTTGGCGAGCACAGAGTTTTGGGTCTCAAGGGCGGCGCAGCGCATCTGCAGGGAGCGGATGTACACCACGGCGTCGTCCAGCATGGCGGACGTGTCTGTGCGCGCGTCCGTGCGCGGCATCACGTCCTTCAGCCGCTTCAGCCGCGCTGAGATGCGCTCCCGCCGCATGCGCTCCGCCACGCTGCGCGGCTTCGTCGAATGCCGGCCCCGCCCCCTGCCTCCGCCCCCCCCCTTGCCGCCCTCCCCGTCCGCCTCCTCGTCCCCCCCCTCGTCCAGCCCAAACCCATCGCCGCCGTACAGCTCGTCTCCCCCTCCGCCGCCCTCCACGCCCTCGCCCATCCCTGCTGCCGCCCCCCCGCCCTCCTCCATGTGCGCGGCGCCCGCTTCCATCCCGCCCTCCTGCCCGTCCCGCGCGGCTCCATCGTGCCCGCCTGCCGACGCCACCTCGTAGCCCTGCTCGCCGCTCGACCCTCTCGAGTGCGACCCTCTGCCTGCCGACTCCGCGGATGGCACGCCCCCTCCCACTCCGCCGCGCGCCGACCCCAGCGGCAAGGGCGCGGCCCCGCCGAGCGGAGTGGTGGGCAGCGAGCGCACGCGCAGCTGCGCCATGTCGCTCGCGAGCCCGGTGGGACTCGCGGCTATGGCGGACAGAACGCGGCTGCCGCCAGGGCTGCGGTATCCGTCGGATCGCGGGCTCTTGAGCGCGGGCGACAGCGGCCACCGCGCTGCGCCGCCCGTCATGCCCGCCTCGGCCTCGCGCTTGCCCGAGTTGGAGGGGGGATTGCCGCAGGTGGCAGCGGCGAGGCGGGAGACGGCGGAGGGGCGCGCGTTGGCCAGCGAGCTGGAGAGGTCGGGCAGGCCCCGCCGGGAGCGCAGGCTCGACTGCGCGCCGTGCGCGGCGGACCCCAGCACCGGGACGGGGCGCTCGCCCGCCGTGAGCTGCGGTCGAGATCGCGCGTTGACTTGCGGCGACACGGGCGGAAGCGCGGATCGACCGTCCAGGCTGTGGCTCTGGCTCAGGGTGGCGCGGCCGCTTCCCGGCGGCGCAGAACCGTTGAATGCACCCACCGTGTGCTCCGCCGCCGCAGCCGCGCCTGCTGCGAAAAGCTGCGCCGTGTTGTCCGCACCCACCTGGGGCGGCTGCGACTCGAGTGGTGACGACGTGGCGAGCGGGGTGGCGGTGGCGGTGGTGGGGGCGTCGAGCGCGGCGAGCATGGCCTGCAGCGAGGGCATGTCGAGACCCGCCGACAGCAGCTGCAGCAGCAAGTCCCGCGACACCCCCGACGACGCCACGTCGCCGCCGTCCATGCTCACAGCGCCGCCACCAGCGGCCCCGCCAAACTCATTCGTCGCAGCAGCGTCGACGGGCGGAGCGACTAGCTGCGACGCTTCGGGGAACCAGAGCCCGTCGCGAGCCCCAAGCGGCCACGCGGGCTCGCCTGGCAGCGCCGCGAAGTCCATCATGGCGCCCCCAGGCAGCTGCGACAGGTCCGCCGCACTCGACGGTATGAATGCCGCGGCGTCGCCGCGTCCTGCTGCGCACTGGTCCGCCCTGAAAGACGGCTCTATACCCGCATTGAGCGGAACCCTAAATTGATCTTCCTGCGCTTGCTGAAGCTGGGAGAAGTCCGATTGCTGGAACTGCATGACGTCTCACGGAGAGCGGCAGCTCGCTATGTCTACGTGTCCTGAACAAATAATTGCCTACAGATGCTCTTCTAGAGTGAACATGTCCGAGTTTGTTGATTCGAGAGTAGGTAACACCAACCATGCATCAAGCAAGAAAGCTTCCCTCCTCTCGCCCAGTTCTGCCTTGGTGGTTGTCCTCTGCTGGCCAGCGTTGACTGGCGCCCGCCCACCCCACCCCACCGTCCATCCGTCGTCCTCTCGGTCCCCCGCGCCCCCCACCCAAACCTTCCGTCTTCGGGTGCGTTCCTGGCTCGTGTCATACTTCCGGTCTTCCGGGGATGACACGAAGCTGGCCCACAGTTGGCCCCACTTTGTGTCATCCGAGACCCACTTCGGGTCTTCCGGCTAAATTGTGCCCCTGGTCTCGGAAACACGAAGTTTGACCGGAAGTTTGACACGAGCCAGGAATGCACCCTTCGTTCGCTCGCTTTCGGTTGGTCTGGTGACTCCCCGCGCTGACAGGTTTGGCTTGGCAGTGCACCCTGCCTTGGACTTTTCCTGATTTTGAGGCCTGGCTGGCGCTCAAGCGCTGGTCGTCAGGTCAGGGCAGGCGATGAGTAAAGTATTTCATATGTGGCGGTTTTTCCGCTAGCTAATATTATCACTCTGCAAAACCAGGGTTTGGCGAAAGAGCCGCTGGTCCCAGTTATATGGAGCACACATCCTACAAAACGTGTTTGGATTGTGCATGCGTCGAGAACTCTGGTTATGGACCCTGGATGCGACTAATTATATACCAATACAAATTCGACTTCAACTGACCCCAAAAAACATTGAGAGTCCTCTTCAGAATTTGGTACATACGAAGGGTTTCGTTTCTAGCTGTGCCGATAGCGTTCGTGACTCTCCGCTGCATATACATCTGGTAATGTATTTCGAACACTTGTGGGACCGCTTAGCCGACCAGAATGTGATAGGTTTTGGGATGCAATACAGGGAACAATTCTTCAAGCGTGGCGTGGCGTCCCTGGTTTCCAAGGTTCGGAACGCGGCGTGTCAGTAATAGCGAGGTAGTCGAGGTTCGGGCATGGCCTGTTAGACTGTACAAGTAGTGCAAATTTGGTGCAAGGCATTGGCAGGACAGTAGTAAGCTCAGTTGGTTGTCGTGTGTGATTCTAACGGGATTAGCCCGCTTCTTGTGAACTGCATGTCGATGGTGCGCGCGGAGCTGCTCTCTCCGCCACCGGAGTCGCAAGCCCCGCTGGCCATGAAGCGCCCGCGAGGCCGCCCGCGCAAACACCCGCCCAAGGAACCCACGCTTCCAAAGCGCGGGCGCGGACGGCCGCGCAAGGACTCGGGAGTGCAGGAGGTGCGCGGCGGGCGGGCCCCGGAGGACTCGAGCACGCCGAAGCGGGGCCCGGGACGGCCGCCGAAAGACCCGACGCTGCCGAAGAGACGACCGGGACGGCCACCTAACAACTCAGCTTCACCAAAGCGAAAGGCGGGACGGCCGCCTAAAGACCCCACTCTGCCAAGGCGAAGCCCCGGTCGGCCGTTGGGCAGCGAGACGGGTCAGAGCGAGCCGCCTGCCGCTCCCAGCTGTGCGTGCGCCCCTCCCACCTCCGCCCGCCCTGCTGCTCGCCCTGCTGCTCGCCAACCTCTCTGCTTTCCCTGCGGCCTTGCTGTGGCGGCTGCTCCCCAGTGCGACAAATTCATGCCTGCTCCCGCTCCTTGCTCCGTGTGCTCCCCTCCTTGCCGTGTGTGCAGCGCTCGAGCCAAGAGTCCTCCTGGTTCCACGTGGCGAGGTATGAGAGAGGTGGGGATGGAGGCATGGTTGATTTCAAAAGTGGCTGTTGAGAATGCCTTGTTAGAGCCCTCTTTGCCTCGACAAGTCACTTCTTTCCCGTGCTTTGCTCACCTGCTCTTTACTCGGGAATGGGAAGGCCTATAATTGTACCAGCAGAGCAGGGTAGCAGCAGATGGCATCGTAGAAAGGAGGGGGGCTACCGGAGTGGAAAGCGAGTGGGAGAGGGGTACAGAAGCGTCGATAAAGTCGTCTGTCATGCTTGTGTCCGCAGGGCCTTAATCACTCGTCCTCCCCTGCGTGTGTCCTCCCCTGGGTGAGGCACACAGGACGTAGCTGCGCGGATATTTGAGTTGTCGCGCGAGGAGGGCAGGGCGGTGTGTGTGCTGTCCGCCAATGGCTCCGTGCACCCGCCCTCCCTCTCTGGCCCACCCACCGCCCTGCCCTCCACACCACTTGCGGTGGGTCATAGCAGCACACAGCATGGGGTGCGTCATAGCAGCACACAGCATGGGGTGGGTCATAGCAGCACACAGCATGGGGTGGGTCATAGCAGCACACAGCATGGGGTGGGTCATAGCAGCACACAGCATGGGGTGGGTCATAGCAGCACACAGCATGGGGTGGGTCATAGCAGCACACAGCATGGGGTGGGTCATAGCAGCACACAGCATGGGGTGGGTCATAGCAGCACACAGCATGGGGTGGGTCATAGCAGCACACAGCATGGGGTGGGTCATAGCAGCACACAGCATGGGGTGGGTCATAGCAGCACACAGCATGGGGTGGGTCATAGCAGCACACAGCATGGGGTGGGTCATAGCAGCACACAGCATGGGGTGGGTCATAGCAGCACACAGCATGGGGTGGGTCATAGCAGCACACAGCATGGGGTGGGTCATAGCAGCACACAGCATGGGGTGGGTCATAGCAGCACACAGCATGGGGTGGGTCATAGCAGCACACAGCATGGGGTGGGTCATAGCAGCACACAGCATGGGGTGGGTCATAGCAGCACACAGCATGGGGTGGGTCATAGCAGCACACAGCATGGGGTGGGTCATAGCAGCACACAGCATGGGGTGGGTCATAGCAGCACACAGCATGGGGTGGGTCATAGCAGCACACAGCATGGGGTGGGTCATAGCAGCACACAGCATGGGGTGGGTCATAGCAGCACACAGCATGGGGTGGGTCATAGCAGCACACAGCATGGGGTGGGTCATAGCAGCACACTACATGGGTGGGCGATAGGAGCACACAGCATGGGGTGGGTCACAGGAAGCAATGTGTGTTAAGCGTGCCTCCTTTGCGTGCATGCATGCAGGGAGCGGTGGACGTGGTGTCGCTGTCTGGCTCATACGTGCCGGACGACCCTGCAGATGCCTCCAGCCGCATGGGAGGGCTCACTGCCACCCTCGTTGCCTCCGACGGCCGCGTGCTGGGGGGCACTGTGGCCTCCCCGCTGCTCGCCTTCTCCACCGTGCAGGTCAGCTTCTCCCTTCTCCCTTTCTCCTCACTGCACGGTGGGTGGCTATCGGTCGTTGCAGCTTGCACAGTGCGCTCAGATCGTGGCAGCATGTGTCACACACATGGACTGATGCACGCAGATCCAAAGGGTTGGCACTTGCTAGGTCCAACCATTTCTGGTTTTGACGCTTTTGGCTCCAAAGCAGCGCCTTCATCCATGCGTTGCACCTCTCTCTCATGCTGCCTGCAACACCCTTCCCTTGCCCAAACTGCATTTGACGCTCCATGCTCGTTGCAGGTGACGGTGTTACTCTTTCCGGTGCAACCCATGGGCGCCTGACTGACATGTGCCATCCACATCTCCTACACCACCACAATGCCTCTAGTCATGATCAAAATGTAGCTCTGCAAGTTCATAGATAGAGTTTCACTAGCTGCAGTGCAATGTAGAAACACACTTGCTTAGCAAACTTCTATCAAGGCAGAGCATAAATTCCTTGTGCTCTGCCATTAGGCAACTCATTAATAAATTGGGGAGGCTCACTAAACTATGGTACTAGTGACTAAAAGCTGATCCTCTCCCTGATGCTCAGCACCAGGGATGCACATGCTGCACGAGTAGATGCTAATGGTAGCGCAGGAGGGCGCCTACAAGCTTGCTTGCCGTCTTGTGCCGTCTGGCAAGCTGGAGCCCTGTCGGCAAAACAGCAGGACAAGCCCAGCAGCATGCCTGCTGACCATGGCCCCAGCACGACTGGAATTCGTGGCTCAGGCTGTTGATGGTGGTCCATTGTACCAATGGTGGCAGTGGCAGGATTGGCACGCATTTGCATGGCAGTATAGCGCCTTATAGACATGTGAATGATTGGCAGCAGCTGGAGTGTTTGTTGGGGCGAGCAAGCAGGCGGTGGTGGCATAGAGGGAGCAGCAGCGGCACAGAGGAGCGAGGGGCACAACACAAGATGGATTGTGGGGTGGCCTGTATTGGCGGTTGCTGCTGCTCGAGGGGCACTCCAAGTATCACAACGTCAAGCCAATGCTAACACCACACAGGGTGGGTGAGTGGCAGCAGCATCAGCGGTGAGTGAGTGGGTGGGTGGAGGGGCATGAACGGCATCAGCGGTTGGACCAGACGAAGTCGACATCGATGGTGCGCTGGGTGCCGTCACGGTTGCCCTCTGGCTGCAGCACGTACGTGCCCGACACCATCCCCAGCGCCACCACCCGGTCTATCTGTATCGTTGCCTTGCCCAACGAGCTCTGCTCAACCACACACACACAGCACAACCAACACAGCACGGCCAACACACCACAGTGCAGAGAAGCCAAGGGAATGAGACACGGAACGGGCTGGAAATGGAACACATGTGGAGCAGCACACAGTGAGGCACATGAAGGGTGCAGCAGGCAGGCAGTAGTAACTCACGGTGCCGATGGTGCCCTTGTTCTTGCATGAGATGTGGAGGTTCTGCCCGCGTGGAGGGGCGTCCAGCGGCCACGTGAAGGTCTGCTTCCACTCGGGGTCACACGTGGCGCTCACCACCTGCCATGTCAAGGAGGAGCACACATGATATCATGCAACACACATAACACAAGCCCACAAGCTAAGATCAGATGGCAGATCACCACCATCCCCATCCCCCATGACCCGCTGCCCCTGAGCCTCGCCCCACGTGCACTGACCTTGGTGACCTTGGCGGGGGTGTCGCTGAGCGTGAGCTTGCAGTAGGCGTTGGTGGCGCCCATGGACGCCTTGAGGTTGGCGCCGCGCTTCACACACACCGACAGGCTGCCCGGCAGCACGGACAGCAGCGTCTCCGCCTTCTCGTAGAGGTTGATGGGGCCGGAGCGCAGCATGAGCTGCAGCACGGGGATGGTGTCGCCCATGGCGATGGACTGCAGCCGCGCCATCTCCTTGCTCGACGCCCACCCCTGCCGCAGCAGCCACAGCACGTTGAGCGCCGTCTCCTGCGCCACCTCGCTGCCCACCTTCATGGCGCCCACCAGCACGGGGATGGCGGCCGTGGCGCACTCGCTGAAGCGCAGGCGGGAGAAGGTGGCGAGGAGCCCCTCGATGGCCTGCAGCACCTCCTCGTTCACACTCGCCGTCTTCCACAGCTCGCGCTCGATCACGCCCGTCATGGACGACACCAGCTCCGGCGTGGCGTACTCCTGCACCGTGTGGTTGTTCAGCATCAGCCGCACCAGGTTCGCCGCCTGTGACGTCACCTCCGCCGACCCGCCTGTCAGCAGCTCCACCAGCACGCCAAACCCGCCCGCGTCCGCCACGGCGCGCTTGTTGGCGCGCGACGACGCTACGAGGTTCTGCAGCCCGCACAGCGCCACCATCACCAGGTCCTCGCTCGCGCGCTCCGCCATGAGCGCCACCAGCGCGCGGCACGCGCCCGTGAGGTCCACGGTCTTGAGCGCCACGCTGGTCTCCTGGAACAGGTCGCCCAGCGCCAGTGCGGCGAGCAGCTTGGCGTTGGGGTCGGCGGAGTTGGGGTCCAGCAGGTACGACGCCAGGGGTGCGATGGAGCGCAGCGCCGTCTGCGACTCCCTCACACGCGCGTTGTTGAAGATGGCCTCCAGCAGCCGTGCCGCCGCCTCCTCCACCTGGTGACAGCGCAGCAGCTCCAGCAGCGCGTCCACCACGCCCATGCGCGCCATCTCGTCCGCCCTCGCCGGGTCCTCCCGCTCCAGCGCCAGCAGCGCCGACAGCGCGACGACCTGCACGGGCTCGGTGTTGGCCATGAGCAGGCGCACCAGCACGGGCACCGGCACCTGCGCGGCACACTTGTCATGTGCGCGCAGCACGTTGGCCAGCACCGTCGCCGCCATCTGCCACATGGGGTGCGGCGCCGTCGCCACCAGGCGCGACAGCTCGTCGATGCCACCCGCCTCCACGATGGCGCCCGGCCAGTAGGCGGACACGAGTTCAAGTGCCTTGAGTGCCTCCGTGCGCAGCGACTCCAGCTCGCTGCCCAGCAGCCTCACCAGCGGCGCCGCGGCGGCGGCGGTGATGCCGTCGCTGTGGAAGGCCTCGAGCGTGAGCACGTGCGCCAGCAGCCCCGCCGCCAGCTGTGCCACCACCAGCGAGGGCGACAGCAGCAGCGGCACGAGTGGCTCCATGGCGTCGCTGGGCGGCAGGTCCAGCGCCTCCAGGCGCCCGGGCTTCTCCAGCACGTTCACCAGCGCCTGCAGTGCGCTCGTCTGCGCCGCGGGGGACAGCTCGGCGTGGCGCAGCATGGCGAACACGGGCCCCACGAGGCGCGCAGCAGCGGCGCCCTTGGCGATGGTGGAGTTGTTGGTGAGCACGCGCAGCAGCTCCGCCAGCAGCGAGCAGAGGGCGAGGGGCGCGGAGGGGAAGATGGCGATGATGCGCTCGATGACCCCGGCCGCCGCCATGTCCAGCTTGCACTGCCGCCGGTCCTTGGCCAGCTTGAACAAAGCGCTGCTGGCCGCCGCGTGCAGCCCGTGGCGCTCGCCCTCCAGCAGACTCACGAGCGGCGCCACGGCGCTGCAGCTCGCCACCACGTTGGCCTGCTGCTCGTCGTCCATCACCGCGTCCACCGCGCCCGCCGCTCGGTACTGCAGCGACGACGACGGGTGCAGCAGCAGCACCACCAGCGGCGGGATCAGCGCCGCGGCCACGGGGCCGGAGCGCGCGCGCGCGGGAAGGAGAAGAGCGTCTGCAGCAGCTCCACCGCCGTCGCCTTCACCTCCGCCGCCGCCTTGTCGTACCCGCCGCTGCTGCCAGCTGGCTGATTGTCGGGCGCCTCGAGCAGGCGCTGGATGGTGGCCATGAGGGGGATGCCGCCCTCCTCACACGCCTGCAGCACGCGCCCCACGTTGCCCTGCGCCAGCTGGCACAGCGCCGCCGCTGCCGCCCGCTGCTCCGCCTCCACAGCGCCGCCGCCAGCAGCCCCGCCAGCAGCCTCCGCGCCGGCCCCGCTGCCCAGCATGTCGACGAGCGGGTGCAGCGCGTGCAGCGCCGCGTCGCTGGCGCGGTGCGCGTCCACGGCGAACAGCGCCTCCAGCGCCGATGCTGCCGGCAGGCGCGCGGCACGGGAGCCCACGCGCAGCACGGCGACGAGCTGGTCCATGGCGGCGGGCGCGGCGGCGTGCACGCGCAGGTCGTCCGCCTGGAACAGCACCCGCAGCAGCTCCACCGCCGCCGCCTCCATCGCCTCCTGCACGGGGAAAGGGGGAAGCAAGGGACAAGGGGTGGACGGGCATGGGGGGCGAGCGGTGAGGGGCGCGGATGCAGCAGCAGGGGTGGGGGCTGAACGCGCAGAGCGATCAACTGTTAGTGGGGCGGGGCAGCGAGTGAATCAGGGGTCAACGGGGGAGAGAACGCAAGGGGGGCAGCACGCGGCGCACCTGAGGGCCGAGCGTGAGGTACGTGGTGAGCGCCTCGAGGATGCGGTAGTCCGCCATGGCGACGCGGTTCGCGCTGCTGCCGGCCGCGAGCTGCGTGAGCAGGCCGATGGCGACGGCGGGCGCGCTGGGCTGGTCGGCGTTGGGCGTGAGCAGCGCGATGAGCTGCGGCACCACCACGCTGCCATGGCGGCCCGCGCGGATGTCGTCGCAGCGGAAGAGCTTCTCCAGCGCCACCTGCTCCGGACTGCCCGCCAGCTCGAAGTCGTCCGCCAGCGCGCGCAGGTGCGCCACGTCCGCCTCCGCGCGGCCCAGCAGCGCGAGCAGCAGCGGGATGGCGCCGCTGTTGGCGATGGCGAGCAGCGTGCCGCGACTGCCGCTCGCCACGAGCGACGCGACGGCCTGCGAGGCAAAGTAGCGCTGCGAGGGGTCGGGCGAGGTGAGCAGCGAGGCGAGCGGCGGAATGGCCCTGAGCGCGACGGGCGAGCGCACGACGTCGCGGTTGCAGAACAGCACCGCCAGCAGCAACGCGCACACCCACGCCCCCCCGCTGTCCCCCCCTTCCCCGCCATCCCCATCCATCCCCAGGTCGTCCGCCTCCTCCCCCTCCGCCGACAGCGCCGAGAGGCGGTCCACCAGCACGTCGACGGCGCCCGCGGCGGCGACGAGCGCGCGCGTGGGGTGGTCGTGCGACGCCATGACGGCGAGCAGCCACAACGCCACGCTGCTCACCAGCGCCTCCGCCGACGCCTCCCCGTCGCCCTCCTCCGCCCCCTGCTGCTGCTGCTGCTGGTCGCGCGACTGCTGCTGCGCCGCCAGCATGTCCACGAGGCACCGCACCACCGGCTGCAGCGTGCCCGCCGCCTCCATCGCCGCCATCGTCGCCGCGCGGTGCTCCTTCGCCGCGCAGATCAGCAGCGCCGTGCCGCCCACCTTGACCTCGAGGCTCTCCGCGTCCGTGATGCGCGCGGTGAGCGCGGCGACGCAGTTGTCAGTACCGGCGATCATGTCGCCCAGCGTCACGGGCTGGTCCTTGCACAGCCGCGACAGCACCTCCACCGCCTTCTCCTGCATGCCCGCCGTGCCCCCCGCCAGCACCGCCACCAGCGGCCCCATCGAGTACGGCACCTCCGACAGCACCGCCAGCGGCGCCTGCCCGCCCCAGTTGTGCGCCTTGGCGCGCGCCAGCGCCGCCAGCGCCTCCAGTGCCGCCATGGACGCGTCCTCGCTGGCGCCGACGGCGAGCAGCGCGACGAGCGCGAGCACGGTGCTGCACTGGCGGATACTCTCCGCCAGCTCCTCGTCCAGCGCGCGCGAGTGCAGCAGGTGCGCCAGCGCGCCCGCCGCGTGCTCCTTGCCGTGCGGCGTGCCCTCGCGCAGCAGGCGCGAGAGCGGCAGCACGACCTCGTCCGCCGGCGCCATGAGCGCCAGCTCGGGGTTGGCCAGCAGATTCGCCAGCGCCGTCGTCGCCACCTCCGCCACCGCCATCTCGCGCGCGCGCGCCAGCTTCACCAGCGGGAAGATGCTCGCCCTCGCCGCGTGCGCCGCCTCCTCGTTGCTGTCGATGGAGCAGAACAGCGCCGCCAACGCGCGCGCCGCCTGCATGGCTACGGGCTCGCCGCCGTCCTCCACGAGGCGCACCAGCGGGGGAATCGCCTCCGCCGCCACCGGCCCCTCGCGCAGATCCTCCCGCGCCGCGAACAGATTCGCCAGCACCGCCGCCGCGCTCTCCTGCGTCTCCTCGCGCTCCGACTCGACGAGCGCGACGAGCGTCTGAAGCGCCTCGTTAGCCGCGGTGCCGTCGTCGGCGGCGTCGGGCGAGTCGGCGAGCAGCTGGCCCAGCACGCGCAGCACGTGCACCTTGCTCTCCGGCACCTCCGCAACCAGAATGCCCGTCAGCTGCCCGATCGCGCTGCTCGCGCCGCTGCTGCCGCCCGACACCAGCCGCATGAGAGCGCGCGCTGCCGCCGCCTGTCCCCTCTCCGACCCGCTGCCCAGCAGATGCAGCAACGCGGGGGCCGCGTCCGCCGTCTCCACGCACGCGCGAATATCCTCGTTATAGGAACACAGATTACCCAGTAACTCCGCGGCGTCCTCCTTGGCCTTGGCGGTGCCTGTCCCCAGCAGCGAGACGAGCGGCGGAATGCCCCCCGCGGCGGTGATGGCCCACTTGCTCTCGTCCTCCTCGTGCGAGAGGATGGCGAGCAGCGCGCACGCACACTCCTGCTGGTCCTCCGTCGACAGCCCCAGCAGTCCCACCAGCTGCAGCACGCCCTCGCGCCCGTGCAGCGCGCTCCACAGCGGCGCGCCCTGCACGCACACGTTGAAAAGCGCCTCCACCAGCTCCGCCTGCGCGTCGGCGGGCGACAGCGTGACGAGCCCCACCAGCATGCGCTTGCCCTCCGCGTTGCTCAGCCCGCGCGCCACCGCGCTGTTGCCGTACAGACTCGCCAGCGCCTCGATCGACCGCTCCTGCACCACCGCCGACGCGGGCCGCAGCGGGCTGAGCTTCTCCACCAGCGCGCGCTCGATGCCCTCCGCGTCCACCTTGCTTCCGCTCCCGCCCTCCCCGCCATCACCGTCCTCCGCCGCGCCGTCGTCGTCGTCACCGTCGTCCAGCACCATCAGCGCGTACGCCAGCGCGCCGATGTTGTCCGCCAGCTCGCGGTCCGAGTGCGCGCTGCTCACCGCCGCCGCCAGCGACGCGACGACCTCCGCCTTGCCGCCCGCGATGTTGGCGAGCGCGCCCATGGCGTTCTCCTGCAGCACCTGCGCGTACCCCGTCTGCATCATCTCCGCCGACGGCGCCATCGTCGCGCGGATCAGCATGCCCACTCCCCCCGCCGCCGCGATCTTTTCCCGAGCCGCCACGTGTACTGCTGAGATTGCGCGCAGCGCCCCAGCCGCCTCCGTCCTGACCGCCACCTCCCTACCCGGCTGCAGCAGCGCGAGGAGCGGTGGGATGGCGCCAGCCTCCACCACTCTCGCCGCCGCATTCGCCGCCTCCTCCAGCCCTTCTCCGCCCTCCATGGCTGCCGCCGCCGCTGCCGCCGCTGCTGCCGCCACTGTAGCGGCTGGAGACTTGCCCTTGGCTTGCTGCTGCGCGGCGGCGGCGGCCGCCGCATTGGGGTGCGCGAGGTAGGGGCTGGTGAGGAAGCTGGTGAGCAGCGCGGCGGCGTTCTCCTGCGTGGCGGGGCGCCCCATGGACAGCATGCTCGTGAAGATCTCCACGCCGCCCGCCGCCTCCACCGTGCGCCAGAAGCCCGGCACGGCGTAGCACAGGTTGCGCATGGCGCCCGTGACGAGCCCCAGCACGTCCGGGTGGATGCCCGCGTGCTTCTGCAGCTGCTGCAGCAGCGCCGGCACCACGCCCTCCGACGCGAAGATGCGCGACCCCACGGCGTCGCGCCCGGACCCCGCCTTGGACATGGCGAAGAGCGCCTCGGCCGCCACCATCTGCGAGTCCTTGGGGCCGTTGCGCAGCAGCGCCAGCATGGGCGGAATGCACCCCCCCAGCAGCACCTTCACGCGCAGCTCCTGCTCGTCGCAGATCGCCCCCAGAGTCGCCGCTGCATGCGTGCGCGCAGGCAGCGTGCCCGAGCGCACGAGCCCCACGAGCAGCGGAATGGCCTGCGCGTGGTAGCCGATGGCCGCGCGCGCATCCACGCTGGTCTCCGCCAGCTGGCTGAGCTGCATGGCGACGCGCTCCTTCTCGTCCGCATCGCTGCCCGCCGTGCGCAGCATCTCTATCGACTCCGCCACCGCCGCCAGTACCATCGCTGACTGCTGGTCCCGCCCTTCCCCCCCCGACCTACTTCCTACTATGCTTTCCGCTTCCCTAAATCCCATGTCTGCTAGTTGGCCGCGAAGGGCGGCGGAAGACCCACGTGCTACTTCCATGTCTGAAGCCAGGGTCAGTGGCACGGCGAGAGTGGAAGCGCGAAACGCCTTGCCATGCAAGCAGAGTCAGTCGCAGTGGTGAGGTGGACGGATGTTCCCCTGGCAAGAGAGAAAAAGGGCAGGACTTGTGTTAGTGAACGGACGAAACGAGGGCGACGCGGAAAACACATGGACGGGGAAGGAGAGGATGAGGGAGAAACACCCATTGCAGCGACCTGATGTTGGCTCGTTAGGACAAGGCAACAAAGCGGCCAGGCGAGGAGGCTAAGCTTCAGAGGATCATGAACAGGGGAATAGCAAACTTAACGACCGCACTCGTGCTCGTTCTTCGAAGCGAAAAGGAGGAAGCAAAACGGTAAAATCTTCGGAAAAGGAAAGTGAGGCTGGACGAGATGTAGAGACGTGGCGGAGCGGTATATAGGTGGCTGAACCTGCTGCGACGGCTTGGCTACTACCGGAGCTGCCAATCTTCCATGCCTGACATTCGTCGCAGCCGCCATCACTACTAGTAAGTTGGCGCCTGCCTATTGCCGTGTCCTTCCCGTTATCGATTCGTTCACATTTCTGGCCCTCAAATTCTTTGGTCCTGCTTGCCCTCTCCAGATCCTTACCTTGAATCTGCCGACGCGAATCAACTGCTCACGCGCTTGACAAATGGTCCTACAACCACGACTTTTGCTGTCAATCTTGAAATCCGAGCTAGCATAGAAGGAGTTCTCTCGGATACGGCTACTAATCACTGTTTCCAGGTAGACAATTAACGCGCCCCACAACTTGAATACTGTAATAAAGCTCTAACTTCCTAGGCCTCCATGAAAGCTTACTTCCAGCACTTCCAAGTGAAGCTTGGGTGTGGAAGACCATGGATACTCGTCCCTCTGCTCTGCTTCACTTCAGCTGACCTAGGAGAGCAACCATTCTGTGTTTAGGGAAAGCCAAGGGTGGCGGGAGAGTCAACACACGCCATGCCATGTGCCCCATTCCGAACCACCCGAGCCGAACCAAGCCGCAGAACTCCGCCGTGCTCGGAGCTCGCACTGCGCAGCCAGCCAAACCTCGCACAGACTGGTTGGGACGGTTCGGCATGGGATGGAACATGTCAAAATGTACCTCGCGAACGAAAGCACCACACGAAGCGGCTGGCGCTGGCTGAGGCTCAACGGCACCCGCGGCCCGCCCACCAGCTGATGATTTTGACGCGCCGCCTCGCGTGGTCCGTGTCGGGGGCCACTGACGCATTGTGAATCGAACCGCTGACTGACACGAATAAAACATTTCGCAGCAACGGTCACGGACTAGACGGATGCAATCCGCCCAACCCAGACCCATCGACGGCAAAACCGCAGTCGCCGCCAGCAACACCGTCAAGCAAACTCCAGGTCGCAGTTTTGACCTGCCCGTCCGTCGAACCCGGCAACGTGTCGCAAACCTCCACAAAGAAACAGTGTATGAAGTGCAGCAACTATATTTAAGTGTCCAATTGTAAACAACTTCAATATACATTGGGATGGATTGTTGGTCAGATCTATCACTACCATTGCAATAATGTGCAGTTCAGATCAGACTGTAAATTAACAATCAACGATGTGACAAACGGGCTACCGCAGTTCAGCTTGTGTTGGCACCGGTTGATCATCTTGGAGTGTTTAGATTGATGGTTGCAGAGAGATTCACTTCGCCTATGTTGCATTGCATCACCCTGCAACCGCGTACAGCACTGTTCATCTGCCTAGCCTTGCGCCTGTTGATTGATCCACGTTACCAATTTATGCCTTGGTACATTCTCGTCATCTTGCCGAGCCATATGGTGCGCAGACTGGTACACTGAAACACATATAACAAGTTTTGCACAAACGGCTAATCACTTGCGCACATTTTAACACGATGCCAAGACAAAGAACTGCAGCCAAAACAGCGAAAACACTAACTCTTTTATTGTGTGCCATCAGCGGTGGCATCAGAGGTTGCAGGTGGAGGCACATGATGAGCCTGGCGATTCCACGAGAGGTATGAGGTATCTCCCAATGGCCTGCACACACACGCACAAATGACGCGTCATTTTTCAGAACCAGCATGCGAATTTCAAATTACTACACCAGCCTGGGAGCAGGAGCGAGGGAATAAGAGGCAAAGTGAAGTTTGGATGAACATTCCTACGAGCATGTGTCGTAAAGGGGGGCGTCGCAATCCCCACAAAACTGTCTTTTGTGCCTAGCCTCGCCTAAACCCAGGAGGCTGTGCTTGCAACACCTACAGAGTGCCATATGTCTTATGAGGAATGACTGAAATGTGACTGTTTATGAGCTGTCGTTGTGAAGAATCGCGTTTGCTGTACCGTTCAGCAAGTCTGTGCACTGAGGTTTTTTTCACATGCCATCTGTTTGCTGTCGTTATTTTTCGGTCTAGCTGAGGCGTGGAATAGAAACACAAAATTTGTTGCGCATTCACGGTTTATGTTTGTGACGCCTGGCATTCTATACCAGAAATAGGCATCACAAACGTTCGCAACGCCTCCTTTTGTAACGTCTGCTCGTGGAAAGCACCCTTGGAGACGAAAGCCTGGACGAGTATTCAATACATACCTTGGATTTGTGAAGAGGAGGACGAAGAAGAGGATGCCGAGGAGGAAGCAGAGCCCCCCTACTGTGAGGTAGGCGAGGCCCAGGAAGCCATTGGCGCCGCCCAGCCAGCTGGCGGTGGAGAGGACGAGGGCCTTCTGGCCGCCGTACTCGTAGGAGTTGTAGTTGTTCTGCAGCACCACCGCCAGCGTGCTGCCCGCCTCCAGCGGCGTGTTTATGCGCCCATACAGCTTGCGGAACGTGGGCAGCGCTGCTGTGCGCATCCACACCATCAGATTCTCCGACTGGTTCAGCTGCACTCCACACACACGTAGGGGCGGGACACAAGGGAGAAAGCAGGGTCACAACCCTGTGAGGACCGCACTCGGACATGCATGCCCATGCCACCACAGCCACAGATGCTACCAAGCACGTGTAGCCCACACCTATGCATGCTCGTGCACCATGCCTGTGTGCCGCCCTAAGCACGCTTACAAGTGTGTTGAGCTGCGCCCCGCCGCGCAGGTTCTCAACGGTGTTGAAGTTCTCCGGGGGCACGCCAGCGAACTTGCCGCTCTGGTCGCTGGGCCACGCGATGTTGCTGCTGTCGATGGCCAGCTGCTGCCCGCTGCCCGCGGCCGTGATGGCGTACGAGTCGTTGAACAGCGACCACGCCACCAGCCCGCACGGCCGGATGGGCGAGGACGAGTTGTCCCACAGGTACGCCTCTGGCTGGCACACGTCAAAGTCGCTGCCACTGATGTTGGTGCCCCGCAGCTGGCTGTCACTGCGGCTCTTCACGTACCTGCACCACCCCATGCAAGGGAAAGGGGGAAGGGGGGGGGGGGGAACAGGGGAGTAGAGAGGGCTTACATTGAGCTAGTTTGGATGAGCTAGCGTGGAAAGAACTACCTTAAAAGGAGAAAGTGGCAAGCAGCAAAAACAACTGGCCATCATCAGTGGGATAAGCTAGCTTCGAGGAAGCCTCAGTTGATTGAAAAGTAGCTTCACTGCTGCGCTACCACGGGGCTACACGTTGAAAAGGGTACCACATGGCATGGCGTGGCATGGCACGGCATGAGGGCAGGCGGGAGGGCGCGTACCGGCGGTGGTTCTGGTAGAAGTTGGTGAGCTGGTAGTACACGAACACTGGCGCCTGCATGCGCTTCGGCACCTGCACGGCGGCCAGCACGCGCGTGACGGGCGGATCAAGGAGAACGAGCAACGGTTGGGAGCAGCGAGATGCGATTTGAATGGATGAATGAGGCCACGAAGGAACAGTTCAAATAGTGGGTGAACTGGAAGCGGTGAGAGAGCGAGAGACAGGAGAGTGACTAAGGGGAGTGCGGGCGAGGGAACGCGGAGGGGCGACTGACGGTGATCCGGATGTCGCATTTCTTCACCACGGACGCGTTCTGAATGTACGCCACGCCGTCCGTGCCGGCCGGCACGCAGCTGTCGTCGTAGCGCTGCACCACCTCCACCACCTGCGGGATGACGCGCACGCACACGCATGGGCACACAGAGGAAGGGAGGGCAGTAAGTCGAAGCTGGCGCGTGCGGGCGGCAAGGCGCACAGAGGCGCCGATACAACGCGACAAGAACTGCATCCAGCGCGCCAAGACTGTTGGATGTCACGAGCGACCTACGCTGTTAGACGCCATGAGCGACCTACGCTGTTAGACGCCATGAGCGACCTACGCTGTTAGACGCCACGAGCGACCTACGCTGTTAGACGCCATGAGCGACCTACGCTGTTAGACGCCATGAGCGACCTACGCTGTTAGACGCCATGAGCGACCTACGCTGTTAGACGCCATGAGCGACCTACGCTGTTAGACGCCATGAGCGACCTACGCTGTTAGACGCCACGAGCGACCTACGCTGTTAGACGCCATGAGCGACCTACGCTGTTAGACGCCATGAGCGACCTACGTTGTTAGACGCCATGAGCGACCTACGCTGTTAGACGCCATGAGCGACCTACGCTGTTAGACGCCATGAGCGACCTACGCTGTTAGACGCCATGAGCGACCTACGCTGTTAGACGCCATGAGCGACCTACGCTGTTAGACGCCATGAGCGACCTACGCTGTTAGACGCCATGAGCGCGACGACTCCGATGGGGATGAAGGCGGTACCGACGATGAAGAGCGTGGTGATCACCTGCCACACGCAGAGACAGGCGGGTGACGAGGGGCGGGGAAAGCGGCCTTGGGCGCGAGGTTTGGGCCAGATGGACAAGAGGTGTGAGTGATGTGAGGGGGGAGCGGGAGGGAGGCGGACAGAGGAAGGCGTGCACCTCGATGGCATCGGACGGGGGTTCAACGAACGAAAGGGCGACTGAAGCATCGCATCAGACGCGGCAAGAGGCAGTGACAGACCATCGACGCGCAAAACACAATATCTTAAACGATGAATTCATCTCGATCCACTTGCATGTGAGAATCACGACGCGTGCGTGGCACTGACCCATGCTGGAGTCAGCAGCGGCTTGCACGCCGGCAGCTCCTGCTGCGTGAAACGCGAGTCTGGACACACGAATGGGAACATGGATCAGGAACACAATGCAGTGTATTAACAACTGCACGCCAATAACAACTGTAAAAAACAAAAGATGTGAAAAACAAACACGGATGGGAATTTGGTGAATAGCCGGAGTGACAAATCTACGAATTCGAACAGAGTTGGTGAGTGACCCAGCAGCCGAAATGGGGGAACGAACTCGCGAAGTGGAGTGGAGCTCACACTTAGGCTTCTTGGACTCCTTCTTAGGGTTCCCAGCTGCCGCTGTCATCGCGGTACTTTGCTTCTTGATATCGGGAATCGGCTAGGGTAGTCGCGGCTTCTGATACTAAGCAAAGTCGCAGGTATTCGAAGAACTCAATCGGCGCTATGTTAGGATTGAAGGGTGAAACGATCAGATTAGGATGATGTAAGCTTGGTAGAGACCTTCCGACGAGCCACTCGAACGAGTCGGACTCGAAGTTCGTGGCTTATTTGCGACTCCCTCTGTCCGTCCCACCGTCAGTCGCAAGCTACATCACGGCAGTCAACGGGAGACTCCGTCCGTTTGGGCACAGAATGGTGCGAATGGGAGGGATTGGGGGAAAGATGGGGGAGAGATGGGGGAGAGATGGGGGAGAGATGGGGGAAGAAGGGAGATGGGGGAAGAAGGGAGATGGGGGAAGAAGGGAGGTGGGGGAAGAAGGGAGGTGGGGGAAGAAGGGAGGTGGGGGCGGGAAGGGGAAGAATTTGTGAGAGCAGGGGGTGGCGGAAGCACGCGGCCTGATTCGTGAATTGCAAGAGTTGTGGTCTGGTCTGGTTTCTTCCGCTGCCTGCGGTGCTGTTTGTTTGGGCGTGACGAAAGGTGCTCAGGCCACAATTATTGTTCCCCACCATGTTAAAGCCCAAGACCTGAATTACTCAACGGAAGTCAACGCTAAATACTAGGTTCGGGAGGCAGGCACGGAGAGGTTCGGTTGGGTTGCGAGAGACTTTCACTCGCGAAACCAATTTGCGACAAAAGTTTCTCGCTTCCCATGATGGGTGGGGTCCTTCCCACAACCAGAAAATCACGTGCATACCAAACTGTGCACAGTTTGAGATAGCACGCAGAGTATTAGGCATATACCATACCTGTAGACAGGGCAGGGCGTCGGCGTTCACTCAAAAGGGATCAGATGCGCCTTACGATGTGGGTGGCGCGGATTTTGATGATGACGCGCAAAGCTAGTGCTCGCTGGGTGAAGATTTTTGTGTCGAAATGCATTTTATTGTGCAACTACTGCGTAGCGTAAACTCGCGGCGAAAATCGAATCGCACCCGTTCGCCCAAGCGTGACCCTCCCCTCGCCCTCGCTTTCATTTCCCTAGGTCCCACGCTTCCGCTCTCTGTCGCCCGCGTCGTCGCCATCGCTTCCGCAGCTCGTCGCGTTCGCGACCCCTGCCCGTCGCCTTCGCTCCGCCCGTCGCCTTCACTCCCCCCCCCTCCTCCCCCCCCTTCCGTTGCCTTCATTTCCCCCTCTCGTCCTCCCGTCGCCTTCACGTCCCCCTCTCGTCGCCTTCACTTTCCCCCCTCCCGTCGCCTTCACTTCCCCTTCCCGTCACCTTCACTACCCCCTCCCGTCGCCTTCACTTCTCCCCCCCGTCGCCTTCACTTCCCCCTCTCGTCGCCTTCACTTCCCCCTCCCGTCGCCTTCACTTCCCCCTCCCCTCGCCTTCACTTCCCCCTCCCGTCGCCTTCACTTCTCCCTCCCGTCGCCTTCACTTCCCCCTCCCGTCACCTTCACTTCCCCTCCCGTCTCCTTCATTTCCCCCTCCCGTCGCCTTCACTTCCCCTTCCCGTCGCCTTCACTTCCCCCTCCCGTCGCCTTCACTTCCCCTTCCCGTCGCCTTCACTTCCCCCTCCCGTCGCCTTCACTTCCCCCTCCCGTCGCCTTCACTTCCCCCTCCCGTCGCCTTCACTTCCCCCTCTCGTCGCCTTCACTTCCCCCTCCCGTCGCCTTCACTTCCCCCTCCCGTCGCCTTCACTTCCCCCTCCCGTCGCCTTCACTTCCCCCTCCCGTCGCCTTCACTTCCCCCTCCCGTCGCCTTCACTTCCCCCTCCCCTCGCCTTCACTTCCCCCTCCCGTCGCCTTCACTTCCCCCTCCCGTCGCCTTCACTTCTCCCTCCCGTCGCCTTCACTTCCCCCTCCCGTCGCCTTCACTTCCCCCTCCCGTCGCCTTCATTTCCCCCTCCCCGTCGCCTTCACTTCCCCTCCCGTCTCCTTCATTTCCCCCTCCCGTCGCCTTCACTTCCCCTTCCCGTCGCCTTCACTTCCCCCTCCTGTCGCCTTCACCTCCCCCATTTCCCCCCTTCACGCTCTCTTACCCCCTCTGCTCGCCCCTGTTTTCCCGGCTCACTCCTATACTCACTCTCTCCCTCCCTGCTCACTCTCTTCCCCCCTGCTCACTCTCTTCCCCCCTGCTCACTTTCTTTCCCCCTGTTCTCATCCCTCTTTCCCCCTTTCTCACCCATTTCCCCCCTGCTCGGTCTATTTCCCCCTGTGCTCGCCCCTAAAATCCCCTGCTCACTCCCTTACCCCTTGTTCACTCTCTCCCCCTCTGGTCACTCTCTTTCCCCCTGTACTCACCCATCTTTCCACCCTGTTTACTCTCTATTCCCCTTTGTTCAACCCTTTCCCCCCCCCAAGTCCTCTCATTTCCCCTCCTTAGCCCCATGCTTACTGGCTATCCCCTTTGCTCACCGCCTTCTCCACCCTGCTCACTCTGTTCCCCGCTTCGCTCACTCCTCTGCCTAACTCCTCCCATACATGCCCTCCACCTTCACCCCTCGCTTATTCTGCCATATCCTCTCTTCCCTCCCCGTTCCATACAGAACCATGCGATGGGTCCCAACAGGAGTGGGTTGAAAAGTTACCACCTCCTAGCTTTGTGCTTGTGCTTATAGTCTTGTCTTGGCAACATAAATGGAACATTATTTTGCTTTGTTGCACTTTTTCATAATGCTCCAAATCACGATGTGGTGTATTATGAGACGCATCCAACCAACATCAATAACGGTACATGGCATAGCTATTGTAGACAACTAATATTATCAAACCCTATACTCATCACAACTGGATGCATGGCAGACCTGCACAGACACGAACCACAAACTCTGATGGAGGGTGGGGAACAAAGAATGCACGGAGGCAGAAAATGAGCAAGGGAGACACGGAGGAAGGGCGGAAGGGTGAGCGAGATGAAGCGTGGGTAGGGGAGAGAGAGCACGGAAAGGCACTAAGGCAGAAGCGTGGGCGACGGTGAGAGGATGGGCGGATGAGATGATGGGCGGATGAGAGGGTGGACGGATGAGATGATGGGCGGATGAGATGATGGGCGGATGAGATGATGGGCGGATGAGATGATGGGCGGATGAGGTGATGGGCGGATGAGGTGATGGGTGGATGAGATGATGGGCGGATGAGATGATGGGCGGATGAGATGATGGGCGGATGAGATGATGGGCGGATGAGATGATGGGCGGATGAGATGATGGGCGGATGAGAGGATGGGCGGATGAGAGGATGGGTGGATGAGATGATGGGCGGATGAGATGATGGGCGGATGAGATGATGGGCGGATGAGATGATGGGCGGATGAGGTGATGGGCGGATGGATGATGGGCGGATGGATGATGGGCGGATGGATGATGGGCGGATGAGATGATGGGCGGATGAGAGTGGGCGGATGAGATGATGGGCGGATGAGATGATGGGCGGATGAGATGATGGGCGGATGAGATGATGGGCGGATGAGAGGATGGGCGGATGAGAGGATGGGCGGATGAGATGATGGGCGGATGAGATGATGGGCGGATGAGATGATGGGCGGATGAGATGATGGGCGGATGAGATGATGGGCGGATGAGATGATGGGCGGATGAGATGATGGGCGGATGAGATGATGGGCGGATGAGATGATGGGCGGATGAGATGATGGGCGGATGAGATGATGGGCGGATGAGATGATGGGCAGATGAGATGATGGGCGGATGAGAGGATGGGCGGATGAGATGATGGGCGGATGAGATGATGGGCGGATGAGATGATGGGCGGATGAGATGATGGGCGGATGAGGTGATGGGCGGATGAGATGATGGGCGGATGAGATGATGGGCGGATGGATGATGGGCGGATGAGATGATGGGCGGATGAGATGATGGGCGGATGAGATGATGGGCGGATGAGATGATGGGCGGATGAGAGGATGGGCGGATGAGAGGATGGGCGGATGAGAGGATGGGCGGATGAGATGATGGGCGGATGAGATGATGGGCGGATGAGGTGATGGGCGGATGAGGTGATGGGCGGATGAGGTGATGGGCGGATGGATGATGGGCGGATGAGATGATGGGCAGATGAGATGATGGGCGGATGAGATGATGGGCGGATGAGATGATGGGCGGATGAGATGATGGGCGGATGAGATGATGGGCGGATGAGAGGATGGGCGGATGAGATGATGGGCGGATGAGATGATGGGCGGATGAGACGATGGGCGGATGAGGTGATGGGCGGATGAGATGATGGGCGGATGAGAGGATGGGCGGATGAGATGATGGGCGGATGAGATGATGGGCGGATGAGACGATGGGTGGATGAGGTGATGGGCGGATGAGATGATGGGCGGATGAGATGATGGGCGGATGAGATGATGGGCGGATGAGATGATGGGCGGATGAGATGATGGGCGGATGAGATGATGGGCGAATGAGAGGATGGGCGGATGAGATGATGGGCGGATGAGATGATGGGCGGAGGAGATGATGGGCGGATGAGATGATGGGCGGATGAGATGATGGGCGGATGAGGTGATGGGCGGATGAGATGATGGGCGGATGAGAGGATGGGCGGATGAGATGATGGGCGGATGAGATGATGGGCGGATGAGATGATGGGCGGATGAGATGATGGGCGGATGAGAGGAAAAAGTGTGGCTGGGTACCGAGACACACCTTCATCAGTACAAGGGGGAAGGTAGAAGGGTGGAACGGAGGACCAGGGTTGGCGTGAGGAAGGGAGTAGGAGAGTGGGAGATGGAAAGGGGAAGGGGGACTGGATCGAGGGAGGATGAGGAGAGGAAGAATGGCAGGAAAGAAGGATGGGAGGAAGGGAGGACGGGCAACAGAGAGGGTAAAGAGGGTAGTGAGGCAGAGAGATGGAGGAAGGGAGGAAGGAAGGACGGGCAACAGAGAGGGTAAAGAGGGTAGTGAGGCAGAGATGATGGAGGAAGGGAGGAAGGGAGAGGGAGAGGAGGACGACTGTGGGGGAACGACGGAACGGAGTAAGGGAGGAGGGCAGGAGGTAAAAGTGTGGTAGGGTATAAGGGTGGAACGGGGGATAGGAGGATCCCTGCACCCTCTCTCCCTAACCCCCGCCTCCCCTGCCCCGCCTCCCCCGCTCCCCTGACCCGCCCCCTGCAACACTGCACTCCTTGCTGCCCGCCTGCACGCGCTGCCCTGGCTGTGCGCCAAACACTCTGCTCCAAAGCCGCACCACCACCTGCCATGCGTGTGGGGTTGGTGCGAGAGAGGAGAGGAGGTCAGTGCAAGAGAGAGAAGGGTGGGTGCTGCTGACCACGCACCCTTCCACACCCCACAGCGAACGAGTCACGACCCCTTCCCCAGCTCCCAGCCCAGCCCGCCATACCTCCCCGCCCAGGGTGGGTGAGAGGCTGATGGGGAGGGAGAATGAGAGAGAAGGAAATAAGGGTGCAAGGGTGGGGTGGTAACCATGGGCGATGGTAGGAGTAGAGAAGGTGGTAATGGGGAGAGCGTGAGCGACCTAACGAGGCAATGGGGAAGGGATACAACGACGACCCTAAATGCGATGGGAAGGGATGAGAGGGTGGGCGGCATGGGTAGAGACGCGATGGTGAAGAGGGGGAACGTGATGGGCAGGGGAGTGATGACGACGTGGAGAGAGGTGGGAGAGAAGGGAGGTCGGCGGGAAGTCTAACCGAGGGCGATGGGAGGGCAAGCGTGGGCGACAGTGGGGGTGGGCGACGGTGGCGGTGGGCGACGGTGGCGGTGGGTGACGGTGGGGGGAAGCGTGGGCGACGGTGGGGGGAAGCGTGGGCGACGGTGGGGGGAAGCGTGGGCGACGGTGGGGGGAAGCGTGGGCGACGGTGGGGGGAAGCGTGGGCGACGGTGGGGGGAAGCGTGGGCGACGGTGGGGGGAAGCGTGGGTGACGGTGGGGGGAAGCGTGGGCGACGGTGGGGGGAAGCGTGGGCGACGGTGGGAAGAAGCGTGGGCGACGGTGGGGGGAAGCTTGGGCGACGGTGGGGGGAAGCTTGGGCGACGGTGGGAGGAAGCGTGGGTGACGGTGGGAGGAAGCGTGGGCGACGGTAGGAGGAACCGTGGGCGATGAGAGGGGAATCGTGAGGGAAGGTGGGGGAAGGCGTGAGCGACGGTGTGGGGAAGCGTGGGGGAAGGCAGGAGGAAGCGTGAGCGGCGGTAAGGGGAAGCGTGAGCGACGATGGGGGAAAGCGTGGGCGACGGTGAGGGGAAGCGTGGGCGTGTGCGTGGGGAGGTGTGTGAGAGACGGTGGGGAGAAGCGTGGGGGACGCGGAAGGCGATAGGTCCAAATGCGATGTTTGGGGATGGGCTAGGACTAAAGGTGAAAATGCTCATGGCCTATGCTTTAGTGGCTTTTTATTCTATCTCTTCGCATGATCTAATCGCTTCGCGTACTATGGAAATCGCACGACCTGAATTACCAAAGAAGGCAAACTGTGCACATTTTGAGCCCTTGTTCCTTCAGGTGGGTGTGGTTGGGACTCTCGCCAACCAAACCCGTTCTGCTCTACGACACTCTGTTTTTTGGCGCTTTGTTTTCTGGTAACCAGCCTGGCTCGGGAGGTCAACTGTGGGCTCGGTAGGCAAACTGTGCACAGTTTGCCTTCCTTTTTTTGTAATTCAGGTCTTGGGCTTTAATGTCAAGGATATTTGCTTCGTTAGTATTATTGTTCTCGACCGGACCACTCACCCCAAAGCCATCTTGTCAACGAGCAAATACGCAATTTGAAAGCAACGGGATTCCCGCGACTTTCCCGAACTTTCTCTCACCGCCTCCGCTTTGGGGTGGGGAGGGACAGCCAAGCATGCTTCCGTCAGCAGTTTTCTCAAAACCAAGATGCCACAGCAAAACTGGACAGAGTACATTGGTAGCATTGCTATGTTGTTCTGCTGACACTGCATCGATGGCCGTAATCCAAGATCCTTGTTATTGTAGACCGTATTAGAATACTGATCAGCACCTGCATCTATCATCATCGTGATCGCAGCTTTTAGTCAATAGTAATGTCGTCAATTTACAAGGCATTCGACCGTACGGTTCGAGACCTGTACGTTTCCTTGTTTGTGCTACTTCGTGCCATTGTCTCGAAGCGGAACCTTCACGCCGTTCCCTAGTGTTTTTTCGCTGTTGAACAACCTTCTTGCTTTCCTCTGATCTGCTTCGATCGTGCTAATCTGTTACCATTCGTCTCCGTGGTTTGCCGGTGCAGAAAGCGTGAGGTCAACAAGAATGTACTCAAGGTGCCTGATGCTGAGCGCAAGGTGAGATGTCTTCTTTTTCTCTAAGTCCCCTCATTCGTGCTCGCGCTTTCCGGACTACGTAGTGATGCGTGTTTTAGTTGTATCGAGTTGCTTCTTGATGCGACTGCACGCCTTCAAACATATAGATTTCACCTTCCGATTTTCCTCTGTTCAAACATATAGATTCAGGGCTACCGTTAACGGAACGATTTCGTAGTTGCATTGACACGGTGAATTTCTTTCATTATTTTGGATGCTCGTGGGTGTGCGTGTTGCGTGTGCGTGCTCGTTTGCGTGCACATGGGTTATACATATGCTCATGAGTGTGCGTGCGTGTGCCGTGCGCGTGTGCGACTGTCCGTGCGCGTGTGCGTGCGACTGTTCGTGCGCGTGTGCGTGCGCGTGTGTGCGCGCGTGTGCATGTGCGTGTGCATGTGCCTGTCTCTCAGGCACTGGACGCGACGACCAACGAGCCGTGGGGGCCTCATGGCCAGCTGCTCGTGGACCTCGCGCGGGCGTCGCACAACCCGTACGGCCCGCTTCCTTCGCAGCGCCGCGAATCTTGCATTATCTCTTTTTCCCTGGCCAGCTCAGCTTAGTCTATGCCGTTTATAATCCGCGTCCGTAACCACCTGCACGCTGATCGTTTCCGTAGAAGCATCCCACTTGAGTGCACTTCGTTGTCTCACGTCAGTTCCTTTGCGCGTTCACTCATCTCTCATGGCTGTGCTGCTGTGCACGGTGCTGCTGTGCGCTGCTGTGCGCGGTGCTGCTGTGCGCGGGGCTGCTGTGCGCGGGGCTGCTGTGCGCGGGGCTGCTGTGCGCGGGGCTGCTGTGCGCGGTGCAGGATCGAGTACTCCATGGTCATGAACGTGCTGTGGAAACGCTGCCTGGATGTCGGCAAGGACTGGCGCCACGTGTACAAGGTGTGTCCACGTGTATGAATTGGGGTGCTCAAAGCACGAAAATTTGTGTGACCTTCTTTCGTTATGGGCTTGGTACGGGGTCGCTTTAGGTTCACTGGGCGTTCGCTGGCATCAATGTGTGTGCTCCGTTCGCCCTCTTGTATGCTGTGTCCGTGCCCCATCTTCTCGTGTGTGCTGGATGGCGTGGTGCCACGGTGCGGGGCACGGGGCAGGCGCTGGTGGTGATGGAGTACCTGGTGGCGCATGGCACCGAGCGCGTCGTCAAAGACCTGCGCGACCGCTCTGCCTTCATTCAGGTGCCGTCTCTCCTCATGCTCAAATCTGCTATTTCCTTTGCATTCTTCTGTTGTTACTTACTGTGAACTCTTCGCTAATTTGTGTTATGGCGATCAGCAGACCCTTCCTCTTCTTTGCTTCATCCATCCCTCTGTGGCCTGCGTTGCGTGCGCACTCAGGGCCTGGCCGATTTCCAGTACATGGACAGCGCGGGCAAGGACCAGGGCCTCAACGTGCGCACCAAGGCGCAGTCGCTGCTCGCCCTGCTGCGCGACTCCGCGCGCATTGCTGAGCTCAGGGAGCGTGCTGCTGCCACCCGCAACAGGTGCGTGCTGCTGCCACCCGCAACAGGTGCGTGCTGCTGCCACCCGCAACAGGTGCGTGCTGCTGCCACCCGCCACAGGTGCGTGCTGCTGCCACCCGCAACAGGTGCGTGCTGCTGCCACCCGCAACAGGTGCGTGCTGCTGCCACCCGCAACAGGTGCGTGCTGCTGCCACCCGCAACAGGTGCGTGCTGCTGCCACCCGCAACAGGTGCGTGCTGCTGCCACCCGCCACAGGTGCGTGCTGCTGCCACCCGCAACAGGTGCGTGCTGCTGCCACCCGCAACAGGTGCGTGCTGCTGCCACCCGCCACAGGTGCGTGGTGCTGCCACCCGCAACAGGTGCGTGCTGCTGCCACCCGCAACAGGTGCGTGCTGCTGCCACCCGCCACAGGTGCGTGCTGCTGCCACTAGCAAGAAGTCACTGAGAGGTGTCTGACTTGGAGTGCTGCATGCTCCAAATAACCTCATTTTGCACCTCTTGCCCCTCCCAACCACTCGTGACCGTCCCCACCAGGTTCAAAGGCGTGTCAGTAGCGGGCTCGGGGCGGGCATCGAACCCGTATGGCGACTACGAGCCAGACAAGCAAGTTAAGGACTCGCACCCCACGGCCAGCTACGGCAGCAACAGCTACGCGGGCGACGGCAGGAGTGTGTACAGCACGGGGTCCGCGGAGAGGGAGAGGGAGGGGGAGGGGGTGCACTCCACTGACAGCGCACACAGTGGCGAGGGCGAGAGGCCGGGCGGGTACACAGACAAGGAGAGGTACGGGGCGGAGGAGGAGGTGGAGCACAGCAGCACGGGGGGCGGTGCAGCGAGGGCAGGCGGGCACGAGGGAGGGGGTGTGGCAGGCAGCAGGGTGGCGGGCAGCAGTGCTGGCGGGGAAGGTGTGACAGCGGGGCAGGGCGGGGGCGGTGGGGGCGGTGGTACGCCGCAGAGTGCGCCCAGGCCTGCTGCCGTGCCCAGCACTGCAGCAGCCAGCGCCAGTCCTTTTGGAGAGGAAGGCTTCTCAGCAAGGTGGGTCTTTTTCCACAAGTATTATTTTCTCCCCGCATCCATTCATCTCCGCTTGGAAGTTCCCTTTTCCAGCGTCAAGCAGCTGATGGTAGCCTGGCACGTCACTGTCTGGGTGCCTACCATGCTCACCATGCCAACTCGCCCTTTCCCTCCTTCCTCCTCCGGAACCACCCACAGCAGCGCCTACGGCCCAGGCCCAACACAGCCCTACACCTACCCGCCCTCCGATGCCTCTCCTGCTGCTGCTGCTGCTGCGGCGGCGGCGCCAGCAGCAGCGGCGTCTGGTGGAGGGGGCGGGGGGTTTGACGATGACGACTTTGACCCGCGCTCCGCACCACAGCAGCCAGTGCTGCAGCAGTGGCAGCCCGCACCTGCTGCAGCAGTCGCAGGTACACACTCGCTCGCCCCTTTGGACTCACTACCCTCTCACCTTGGTTCTATTCTGTTCACTCTGCTTCCTTTTTTTTACCTTGCCTTCCACCCCACTCTTTCGTATCGCTCCGCCAACCTCACCAGGCGTTTCTTTAGTTTCTCCCGATCTGTTCCGCCCCTCATCCTCCCTTGCCCTCAGAGCCATCTGCCTTTGGGGATTCGTCCTTCCCAGCCACGTTCTCACAGGAGCCACAGCAGCCAGGGCACTACCAGCAGCAACAACACCATCCCCAGCAGCCACCTCAGCAGTATCAGCAGCCACCTCAGCAATACCAGCAGCCACCTCAGCAGTATCAGCAGGCACCGCAGCAGTATCAGCAGCCACCTCAGCAATACCAGCAGCCACCTCAGCAGTATCAGCAACCACCTCAGCAGTATCAGCAACCACCTCAGCAGTATCAGCAACCACCTCAGCAGTATCAGCAACCACCTCAGCAGTATCAGCAGGCACCTCAGCAGTACCAGCAGCCTCCTCCGCAGTACGACCAGCCAACCCCGCAATACCAGCAGCCACCGCAGCAGCCACAGCAGCAGCAGCAGCAACCAGCAGCGGCACCCGCCAGCCCCCCCGCTGCTGCTGCAGCAGCAACGGCCTCTCCGGAGGGCTTCCATGCCTTCCCGCCCGATGCCCCCCCTCCCTACTCCTTCTCGTCCGAGCAACCCCCACAGCAGCAGCAGCAGCAGCAGCAGCAGCAGCAGCAGCAGCAGCAGCAGCAGCAGCAGCAGCAGCAGCAGCAGCAGCAGCAGCAGCAGCAGCAGCAGCAGCAGCAGCAGCAGCAGCAGCAGCAGCAGCAGCAGCAGCAGCAGCAGCAGCAGCAGCAGCAGCAGCAGCAGCCGCAGCAGCCGCAGCAGGCAGCGGTGGCGGCATCTGGTTACGCAGACCCCTCCCAGCCTGCTGCGCCAACTACACCATATGCCTTCTCTGCCTCAGACGCTGGCCCCACCTCCTCCGTTGCTCCCCCCCATCCCACTGCCCATCACCCGCCCCCCCCTACCTCCGTGACTGCACCTGCTTCTGCGGCCCCCCCTGCTGCTGCCGGCGTGGGCGGTGAGGGCAAGGGCAGTGCGAGTGGGGGGGCGGGTGCGGGAGTGAAGAAGTCGAGTGTGTTCTCAGACGTGCTCAGTGCCGGCCTCGTGGACCTCGACATCTCTAAGGGTATGCCCCCTGCATGGCACGCGTGTACCATACCATGTCTGCATGCTGCGCCTGTGCACATGCAGCATGCCTGTGCTGTGAGTGCCTAGCTGCTGCTGGCTGTTGAAAGGCACATGGCAGCAGCAAGACACACAAGGTGCAACTGTTCTTTGCCTTAACACGGCACTGAATGGCTCGCACTTTCTCTCTCGTTCAAGCAACAGCTCTGTCCTTGCTTTGAAATGCATCCCACTCGCCCAGCATCACCCTTCTCCCACGTGCCATTCCCACTCCTCTCACCTTCCACTCTCCCTTGCTCTGCCATCCCCTTACCCACCATCTCCTTTCACCCGTGCGCCACCCCCTGCCACCACACCTGCGTGGCGGCATCAGAGCCGGACGACCCACTGAGCTCGGTGGGCGTGATGCCCAAGTCGAAGCTCAGGTCGGCGCGCGAGCGCAAGGAGGACGCCAGCCGCCACCAGCAGCAGCAGCACCTGGGGCAGGGGCAGGGGCAGGGGCAGCAGGGCGGTGTGCCCGCTGCCATGGGCCGTGCCATGGGGCCTGGTGCTGGTGCCGGTGGCATGGGTGGGGGGGCAGGCATGGGGGGCATGGGGGGCATGGGGGGGATGGGAGGCATGGGAGGCATGGGTGGCATGGGTGGTGGGATGGGAATGGGAGGAGGAATGGGGGGGATGGGGGCGATGGGCGGAATGGGTGGTGGAATGGGTGCCATGGGCGGTGGTGGTGGTGCCTATGGTATGCAGGGTGGTGGGTATGGGGGAATGGGGATGGGTGGTGGAGGCATGGGAGGGATGGGAGGGGGCATGGCAGGAAACATGGGCATGGGAATGGGAGGTGGTGGATATCCAAATCAGCAAGGTGGTTATCCGACAGGTACTGGCAACTACCAGCAATCTGGTTTCCAGCAAGGCAATTATGGTGGTGCAAATTATCATCAAGGTGGAGGTTACGGTTATTGATTATGCTGTCCGCTCACTCACTTCAGAGGCTCTTGCTGCATCCTTGGAGTATCAGTTGTGCAAGTATTAGTTGAAAGTTAATGGAGTTAGGAAAACACGGTTCATTGTGCCCGCTGGCAAGACGTACTCGATGTAAGGAAAAATGTCTTCGTACTACCCCTCCCTCTTGTAGAATCTGCCTGTGCTAAGGTTTAACTCAAGTAGTGTCAAATGTTATGTTTGTGTTGTAGGTTGTAGTGAGGCGCATTGTGGGGGGTACAACCCTTTTAGGGTTCATACTTGGATCATTCATGCTGCTCAATGCAATCATTCCGCTGTTTCATATCTCAACATGGTATCCGAGTAGGTTCGTTCCGGCTGCGCTGTGCCGCTGCTGCCGCGCTGCCCCTTACTGCGCGCTGCCCCGCACTGCCCCGCGCTGCCCCGCGTGCACTGCCCCGCGCGCGCTGCCTCGCACTGCTGCGCGCGCACTGCCCTGCGCTGCCCCGCGCGCGCTGCCTTGCGCTGTCGCGCTGCCCTGCGCGTGCTGCCCCGCGCTGCCCCGAGCTGCCCCGCCCACGCCGCCGCCCGCGCTGCCGCGCCACGCTGACCCTGCTGCGCTGCCGCCTGCGCTGCAGCCAGCGCTGCAGCCTGCGCTGCCACATAGCCGCCCGTGCGCCGCCTCGCGCTGCCGCTCGCTACCGGCCCGCTGCAGCCCGCTGGCCGCCCACTGCCGCGCCACCTGCAGCCGCGCTGCCACCGCACCGCCCGGCCTCCTGCCGCACCACGCCGCCCTGCCGCGCCGCGCTGCCCTGCCGAGCCGCGCCACGCCGCCCTCCCTACTGCCGCACCGCGCAACGATGCCACTCTGCCTGCTGCCGAGCCATTCACCTTCTGCCGTGCTGTACCTCGAACCGCCCCCGGTGCCTATATCTGCGGCTAGTTCCTAGTGCTGCTGCCTATATGCATTTGCACTATAGAGGGTACGGGTTTGTTGGATATACCCTCTTTGTATGCTCTCATTCCTCATTCTGTTGTTGACATGGTATCACGCTAGGTTAGGTCCCTCGCTTCTGTCCATCCTTCCTCCCTTAGTGGACCCTCTTTAGCAGCCCCCCTTTCGCAGCCCCCGTCGCAAGCCCCTTTAGCGGCCCCTTAGCGACCCCCCATTTGCGGACCCCGTCATGGCCCTGCCGCGCCTTCCCGCACCCGCCGCGTGCCTGCCACGCGCCTGCCGCACACCTGCCGCACCCTGCCGCGCGCCTTCCCACGCGCCTGCTGTGCGCCCTGCCGTGCCATAGCGCGCGCCCTACCACGCCCTGCCGCGCCATAGCTCGCGCCCTACCGCGCCCTGCCGCGCGCCTGGTGCGAGCTTTACACGCACCTCCGCGCCCTGTCGTGCGCCCTAACACGCCATGCCGCGCACCTGCCGCACTCTCCCGTGCCCTACCGCGCGCCCTGTCGCGCCCTTCCGCCTCGCCTGCCGCACGCCTGCCGTCGCGGACCTAGTGCCACGTATGCCGCATGCCATGCCGTCGTGCCTGCCGCACGCCTTCCGTCGCGCCTGCTGCGCGCCTTCTGCCGCGCCCTGCCGCCGCGCCTGCCGAGCCTGTCGGCCGCGCCTGCAGCTGTGCCTGCCGACCGTGCCTGTAGTTGCGCATGCCAACCTTGCCTGCCACAACATTTGCCGCCGTGCTTGCCGCCGCACCTGCCACTCTGCTTGGAACTATTGCTCACCGGCAGCAGTGATTTTGGTCTCCGCTCTGCCTGACTGCCTCTTACTGTCTTCTCTTCCGCCAGTGGCTGCCCCCTCTCATCTGTTGTAGCTGTGCCCCTGCTCGTGCCTATCCTGGCATCCGAGTTTGTGTTGCGGCTCCATACGGAGGGGCAGGGATCGACTTTGACACATGGTTGCTCGACGTTCAGCTCCACTTGTAGAGCCAGCGCCAGGATGACGTCTACCTGTACGCCCATGTGTCAGGTGAGCTATCTGCTCCCGAGCGTCCTCCTGCCCTTAGTGCTGAGCCCACCTCGAAGGAGTGGGAGGCTCACCACATGGCCCAACTTGCGTACTTATTTGGGTGTCGCGTGACGCTACTGCGCGTCTTGCTCTTAATCGCCTCCTGCCACCGGCCGAGCGAGTGCACTTTCGCCAGGTCGCGATAGTGAAAGGGCGTTTGGTTGCTATTGTTGCTCACTACTCCACCCCCTCCTCTGCTACTCTGAGACACCTCCTCATGCCCTTCCTCTTCCCTAATCTCCCTGCTTTCTCCACATGCGCTCGCTTGACGCTAGCTTCCGCGCTACTTGTAGTGGTGACCACCTTGCTATGCACGCCCCCCCCATGTATCTCACCCTGCGCTTTCTAGTGACCCGCCTCCCTGACCGCCTCGCGCCTGCCCGCGAATCCCTCCTCACCATGCGCCCCATGGACCTCACTATCGATCTCTTTTGAGACTTGTCACACTGAGATCGAGACCCACCTTCGCACCATCGCCTTCACCACTGGTGCGGTAGTCCACCCCATCTTTGAGGGGTGCGCTCCGCCCAGCTCCCTACCCTAGTTGCCTCTGCTGCTGTTGCTGAGCCTTCTGCTACAGCGGAGGTCGCCACCATCTCTGCTACTTCTGGTGGGCGGGGACGGCGCAGGGGTGGTCGTGGTCGTGGAGGAGGTGGAGGTAGTGGCATGTTGGGGGGTGTTGACGTTGGGAGTGCTGATTCTGGGGGTATTGCAGTAGGAGGTGAAGGAATGAGGGGTGCGAAGGTGACTCCGTTGCAGCAGTGTGGTCAGCTTCGTCTTGCTTACGTGGCCTCTCGGGCCAACACTGCTGACCAAGGCACTTCAGCCTTGTGATCATCAGCGTTTCTGTACTGTTTTAGGCCTTGTGCCTACTTGGTCTCACTTGCTCACTTCTTGACTTTGCTTGTACTGTGATCTATATACATATACCTGCATGCTTACACTTGCTAGGTTTTGATAACTGTGCTGCTTGTTCTCCATTATATAACTCTGCATGTGAACTGGCCTTGTGGCCATTTGCTTGTGCTCAGAGTGTGTGGTGACTTCGTGATCCACCCTGAGCTTGCTTTGCTTTTCTTGACTGGTCTTGTGACCCCTTGTTCTCCCCCACTTTGCCTATGGGGGTGTGTCAAAGTTATATGACATAGTCTGTGTAGGCTGTAGTGGGGTAGTCAATATGGGGTACAACACTTTTAGGTTTTCCTACTTGTACCCACCTGCTTGCTAATTCAATCATTCCTTCCTTCACATTTCTGACATAGAAATCCTTGCCGTCAAATTGAGTTGAAGTCTTCAGCTTTGAGGTCAAAACAAACTTTGTTTGCATGGTTGCGATTGCCTCTGTTTGTGCGCGTTGTTGACTGTCGTGCGCAGGAGCTGAAGCTTGACGGCTGTCAAAGGTAAAAGATCTCTCGGAGTTGACGCGGCGGTCTTCTCCCGGGAGAGGCATTCCAGCAACCCGTCTTGCGTAACAGTAGCACCAACTCCAGCAATGTGTCTCCCAGCAGTTGTGGGGACTTGCTGGCCCGGGGACCGTTGGCCGCGGTAGCAGGTCTGACAGCTGGGACCCCCCCAACGGGCCATGCCAATACCATATTCACTCTGATCCGCTGTATGGCGCCGTCTGCGGGCGCACCGGTCGCTCCACTGCGCGTTGCTTCCGCCGACTCGACGACCTCTTCCGCGCCCAATTCGGCCCTACGTCGTTCCCCCCGGACGGGCCTGCGCGGTCGCCCCATGGTTTGGCTGTGTTTGACATGGACATCTCTTAGATAGGACATGCTTTGTATGCCATGTATGCTAATGACTCTAGTGTTGCCGCGTCATATTTTTCGTGTGCACCTAAACTAGGTTCTCATGCTGCCTGCCCGTGTGGGTCCACTGCCGATGGTCCCTCTCTTTCACTCTCGACTCTTGTGCGTCCCAGTAGCTTCCTCCGCGAGAGCACCACCCTATTTCTACTTCCAGCTCCTGCCGCAAACTCCTTGGCGGAACCCTTTCCTGGACCGATTCTTGCACGCAGCGCTACTGCACCCCGCATCCGGCAGTCCCCTCTGGCTCCCTCACAGGTCTGCATATCCCCTCGTTCTCCAGGAACTTGGTGGGTGTCAGTCATCTTGAGGACCTTGGCATCACTACCACATTTCCAGACACGAGCGGTTTACGACCTGTACAGACGCTACCACTGGGGCACCTCTCGTCAAGTTCCCACTAGACCCTGCGTCAAGTCATTTTATGCTGCAAACTGCGTCCACCCAGGTTCATGTGTCTGCTTAGGTAGCTGTGTTGTGCTCGTGTCAGTCGCTCACTCACCTGCCGCTCTTATGCCGCCACCATCTAGGTCACCCCGCCCTCCCGCGTCTCCGTTACATGGCTCGGCACAGTCTTGTCTCTCGTCTCCCGTCGTCGCCGCCGTGCTCCCCTTGTGTCGAGGGCAGGCAGTGCACCACCCCTCACTCCTCCTCGTTTCCTCCCACTGTTGTGCCTTTTTAAACATTGCACATGGACGTCTGGGGTCATGGCCCTGTCCCCGGGCTGCACGGCAAGCTCTTCTTCCTAGTCGTTGTAAGCGACTACTCTCGCCACAGCACGGTGTTTCCCTTGCAGCGGAAGGCCGACGTGCCTGATGTTCTCCTCCCGTGGCTAGTAGACGTCCGCACCCAGCGTGTCTTCACTCCAACCGTGGTGATGAGTTCGCCTCCGGATGCCTTGGCTAGTTCTGTCGTGCGGAGGGCATCACCCAAATGAAATTGCTCCCAGACTCGCCGCAGCGAAACGGGGTAGCCGAGCATCGCATTGGCTTGGTCATGAAGATCGCTCGTACCCATTTTTTTTAGTCCGCTACGTCCTGTGGCCCCGTGTCCCATGGCCGTAGGTTCGTTGACCTTCTCTTGACTAGGTCCAATGCTGATGCATCTGCATTTTGTGTCGAGGGCTGCCTTTCTCATGTCCACGACCCTCGCGTGGGCAAGCTCTCGGCCCGCACTCTCGACGCCCCATAACTGGCCATTCTACCGCCCTCCGTTTCACTGTTTCCTCCGCTCTCGTAACAATATCTTGACGAGTCTATCTGCTTCTACACTTGCTTCCCTCACTTCGGTTACTCGGTCCCCCCCCCCTTCCCTCTTACCACTCGCACTCCTGCCCCCACTCCTCCGCTCGCTTCCCTGCCCCCCCACCCTTCCCCGCCGGGTGGGTCGCACGCCATCCCCCTTCCCTCGGTTGGGCATGTGGGGGAATCTGCTGACTCGAAGGCCCGGTAAGTGGGGGTGCACCTCTTGTTTCGGCACCTTCACCGCCTCCCCCCCATCCCTTGCCCCCACCCGCAGCCGTTGTCACAATCCTTGTCGTCACCGGCGTTGTCCTCGCAGTCGCTGCAGCAGCCTTACTTGCCGTAGCAGCTCGTCGCCGCCGCTCAGCAGCCGTCGATGGCGTAGTCAGTCAATGTGGACTCTGGGTGTGTTGCCGCTAGGTGTGCAGATTCTGGGGGTGCTGCCGCTATAGGTGCTAGCTCCGGGGTTGCTGGTTCTGGGAGTGCAGGTTCTGGGGGTGCTGCCGCAGGAAGTACTGGTACTGGGGGTGCTGTGAGCACAGCAGCCGCAACCGTAGTCGCCGCAGCAGCAGCGTGGTATCCATTCTATGCTCCTCCGTTCTCGTGTCTCTCGAGCTCTGCCACCCTTTGTTTTCCAGTCGCCTCCTCCGTCATCCCTTGATGTCTCCTCTTCTCTATTCTCTAACTTTCTTCGTGCTGCTCGCCCTACGGTCTCCCATGTCCTTTTCTTCCTCAGTACCGACCCTACTGCTCCTACGACGTCTGTTACTACTCTTGTTGCTGATGTCACTGATTTTGCCTCCACCCGCCGCCTTGACTACGCCACTTAGTTGGTCTCTGCTCCTGCCGGTCCTCGGTTCGTTGGGGGTGCTTCTACCGTTAACACTAACATCCTAGAGGGCAGGCAGTTCGAACTGGTTTTCCTTGCCGCCGCTGCTCCTCACCTTTGTGCCATGCTGCTAGCCCTTGAGGGTGACTCAGACGCTCTTGACATCACGACTCCCCATACATAAGCTGATGCAGGGTCTGGACGTTGGGCCCCTCAGTAGATAGCAGCCATGGACGTAAAGATGGCATCTTAGAGGTCCACAGGCACTTATGTTGACGCAGTTCCCCCTCCTAGGGCGAACGTAGTCGACGGCATGTGGGTTTTCAAGGTGAAGAAGCCACCTGGAGCGCCGCCTGTCTTCAAGGCGTACTACGTGGCGAGAGGCTTAGTCGGCGAGCGG